CCGAGGGCTGCGATCCCGTTGCCGGTCCCAGTCCGGTACGGGGGCGACACTGAGGGTTGCGATCCGTTGCCGGACACGGAAAAAAAAAAAAAAACAAAAAAAAAAAAAAAAAAAGCAAGCTAATTGATATTGCCCACTTAACTTTGACTTTAATTAGTGATAATCAAAATTATCAAGTGTACTATCCCAAGGGAAAACAATATAATAGTAACTATTGGCTATTAACTTTGAAATAATTGCTTACTTTTTCAGTTACAAATTGACGTAGGAGTAAATTTTATCTAATTAAAACAATATATATTAATTGTACTTATGCACCACAATATTAGGAAGGTTAGGGAAAAGTTAAAGAAAATGTCGAGTATGTACAGAATAATGTATACACATTCATTCAATGTTTGAATACCATCTACATGTGAGAAGCTTTCTCATACATTATACCACTTTATAAATATTCAACTATGTTTAATTTAGCACATACCACAAGTAGATAGGGGCTTAACATGCATTTTTTTTTTTTCCTTTTTGTCTTTTTTCGTGACCGGCAACGGATCGCAACCCTCAGTGTCGCGCCCGTACCGGACTGGGACCGGCCACGGGATCGCCCACGGGATCGCAACCCTCGGTGTTGCTCCTGCCCCTCGCTCAGCCAGTGAGCGGCTGGTCTGTATGTGGGATCCAAACCCTCGGCGGGAGCGCCACCGCGCTTCCCAAGCGGCGCACTATAGCAGTGCGCCACCGGGCTGGCCCTTAACATGCATTTTTATAGTAGCATGGTAGTTGCAGATAATGTGGTTAACTTCAGCAGGCAACATCTGTGTTACACACATGGCCATCAAAATAATTGTGGCATTAGAAAGAGGCAAAATAATTGTGGCACTAGAAACTGTGACACAGAAAGAGGCCAAGTCTGTTGTGAAATGATTACTTCCAACAAAACCCTGCTTAAATTGTTGTTTAGTTATTTGTCATGCTCTATACCCAAAATAACAGTATTATGAAGTTGCCATTGCCTTTGAATTGCTCTATACCCAAAATAACAGTATTATGAAGTTGCCATTGCCTTTGAATTGCTCTATACCCAAAATAACAGTATTATGAAGTTGCCATTGCCTTTGAATTGCTCTATACCCAAAATAACAGTATTATGAAGTTGCCATTGCCTTTGAATCACTCACCAATCTTCAATCTATTTGTAAAACAAAATAAGCACCATCGGGTTGTAAAAAATAATTACAGATCAGGATTTTTGATTCATGTCTCTTTGACAAAATTATTACATTTGATCCAAGTCTTGGCTGCTCCCCTGACAGAATAATGTACAGGCTCCACAGTTGACAGGGCACAGTTTTCATGACTAAATGGGAAGTTTACACTCCAGATGACTTTAGACTCCAGGTGAATTTGGACTTTGCACTTCAGAAAGATTTCTTTGTTGTTTTAGTATCAGATCATCAGTTATCTTTTTCTAATTGTTCCTACCTCCACACCAAAGAGAATCTATGTATTATCAAGAATTTAGAATGTTTTTTGTGATTTTTACCTATTTTATTCACACAGTACACCAAAGAATGTATCATCTTGTAAAGTAAGTTCTTTTTCTGATTTCCTTGGGTGGGTTGGGAATGGAGCAAGGATGTTTCCGAACATAAAGAAAAGTAAAAAATACAAATTGATCGTCCTCCCCCCAAAGAGTCTTTTACTGGTCTTGAAAAGGAAACACCAAATGAGAATCTAATTGACTTTTGCTTATTATAATTACTGGAGAAACAATATTCAAACAATTTTCTAAAGGAAAGGGTTAACAATCTTGTAGCTTTAATTGATCATGTTGCCTCTCTCTCCTGCAAAATACACCTATGAAAGTACAATAGAATGACAACATTAACGCTAGAACTTTTAGCTAGGAACACTTCCTCTAGTATGCATAAAGTTGCGTAAAAACTGATTCACACACGTAAATGCCCAGGGCCTACGCTATTAGGATTAACTTCTGAGATGACAAGACTAGTAGAAGCTACTTCGGCAGCCTGAACTGAACGATTTCTCAGACTCTATTAGAGGCAGACGGTTTCTCTTCACCAGACTCAGCCACTGTGTTATTTAAAATGCCCTAGTGATTTAAAACTGAAGGATAAAGAGAAACAAAACAACAAAACACCCCAGATTCCGATGTCCTCTAGTTACATTGTTGCAAGAGCAAAACAAGTGCGCAGGCGCATCTGTCAAGTTGTCAACTGTAAACATAAATATGCATCAAAATTAAGGAAGTGGATCTCTGCAAGATCCGCAGCCTTTTTGTTTGGGTTCCCTAGGTTAATAGTAGTAATAGCATTTTAATAACCTACAAACAGGAGCAAAGTCATTACTGAGTCGCTTTGAGAGATGCTTACTTAAGTTTGGGGATAAAACCAGTCCGCTTGTGAAAATGGAAGTTATTTTCAGTACAGACGTACCATTACCCAACTACAAACCCAGGTAACACAATCACAACGACCCAATCAATGTGTTTCAACAAGTGAACTAGTTTACTCTCCAACGACACTGTCAAGAAAAAAAAAGCCTTCAGCAAAGCCAAGGGAACTCATGCCTTCAACACTGGGGTCGAGCAGGGTGCAGCCGGTACATGCCATTCTGTGCCTCTTCGGGAGCTGCGGGGAGCCCAGACGCTTTTGGAGGAAACCGGTGCTGGGAAGACTTTCGGTCTCCGTAACAGGATCGTGGATGGCAGCTGGGAGTCGGTGCGTCGAGTAGCCTTCGAGACGTCAAACTTACTTTCCTTTATGAAGCAACTCAAAGTTAACTCACCCTGACACGTCCAATCTCTATCTGAGCGCGGTGGGCAGCGCCTCTCCTACCCACCTTGCAGGGAAGCACCCGTCGGCCTCGATCGGTGACAGCCCTCAGACAAAGCCGCAGACCCCCGAGCCCGCCCGGCTGCCGACCCCCGGAACGCGCCCCCGGCTGCGCCTACCTTGATGCCCTGCTGCTGGGTGGTGAGGGTTAACTTGGATTCGTCCAGGAGCAAAACTTCGCAGTAAAATTCTTCCGGAACAGCGCAGAAACAACCCATGTCGGCTGTGGCCGTCTCCAGCCAGGCGAGAACGCTGCGACCGAGGCGCCGGGCCGCCCCCTCCTCTCAGGCACGCAGCATTAATCTATCGGCTGCGCCGTCTCCAGGACGAGAGGAGCTGCTCCCGGCGGGGTCCGGAGCCGCCCGGCGCGGCGTGGAGCAAGGAGGACGGAGGGGCCCGGGAGAGGCAGCGCCGGGAGAGTCAGTCAGCGCCCGGGAGCCGCCGGGGAAGCGCCGGCGGAACTGGGCGCGGGGGGCGGCGGCGCGACCCCGCGCATCTTGCGGCTCCGGCTCTTCCGAGGGCGGGGGCGCCACGGCCCCTCCCTCAGTCCTGGGGCGGACCAAAGTCGCCTGGCTATGGGCGCAAGAATCAAGAAAAAGGAGGGATGAGCGCTCGAGGCCCTCCCCGGACTTGGAAGCCCCTGGAAGCTCTGCCGCCGCCTCCACCCGCACCAGCTGGAACGCGGCCGTGACGTGCCGGCTTCCGCGGGGTCCGCGGAGTACCCGGGGAGCGCGTACTTGCAGCTCCGACCCCGCCCCGCAGCCCCGGGTCCGGTCCGCCGAATGGGGAGTGCTCGGCTTTTCTTTTGTGTCGGGGGTACCCACGACGCCCAACCAGGGGCACAGGAGCAGTGGCGAGGATCGTCACTTAGTCCGCATCCCCGCCCCCAAACCCGCGGCCACCAAGTAGCCCAAAGAGGGCTGCAAAGGGCGGCGGGCTCCTTACCGAGACCGGCAAGGGGAGGTCAGCTAGTCGCGGGGCGCGGGTCCTGTCTGGGGGGGCCCGAGCTCATCACGGGGGCCGTGTGTGGCCAAGTTCAAGCTCTCTATCCGGGAATGCCCTGCCGCGGCGGCTGAGCGCTGCTAATACCGGACATCCAGAACAGCGGAGAGTCGAGGACCTGCGGACGGGCGAGGAGGCGGGCGGCCCGGCTGGGAACGCGGCGGGCGGGCGAGCGGGCGCGCCAGGCTGGGAGCCTCCTAGGAAAGTTCTCTTGGCGGCGCGAGGGGTGGCGCCCCGGTTGGGAGCAGCCCAGGTGAAGCTGGGCCAGGCCCAGGCGTCTGCAAAAAGCCCTAGAGCGAAGCCGGAGCCCGGTGGCCGCCGCAGGGGCGCTCCTCCTGGGCGGGGTCTCAGCTGGGGGCGGGGGGCGGAGCGGAGGTGGTCTCAGGGTGAGGTGTGGGCAGGTCCGCGGAGCGCACTGTGTCCGTTTCCCCGGGAGACCGGGAGGCTGGCTCCGGGAGCGCAGTGCACAGTTCTGCCCAGACACCAGCGTTCGGCGATCCGAGCCCCACGCCCTCCGTGCGGCCGGCAGCGTCCACGACTGGCGGGCGCGGTAGTTCTGAGGCTGCAGTGACCCCTGGTGGGTTCTTGTGTCCGTGCACAGACAGCCGAGGCTGAGCTACGGGTGAGGCAGGGCCCCGCTGGCCTTCGGAGCAGGTGCACTCTGTGCTCTCCAGCTGGGAACCAGCAGCGAGTTAGTGCCAGTCGCAGTCAGAGGGGAAACAAGAGGACGCTGGGCGGGGTTGGCGGTAGGCCTCCCAGAAAACGAGTATTAGAGCAAGAGCTCTGGAGTCAAACGTAGGTTCGAGTTCCCTCCTCCACTACTTGTTAGCTGGACAGCCAAAACTCAAAAAATTTGCTTAAAACCTAGGACATTAGCACTTGAAAGGAAAAATACTAGCTTCCACGGCACAGTGGAAATGAAATCATCGGGCCGGCCCGTGGCTCACTCGGGAGAGTGTGGTGTTGATAACACCAAGGCCCCGGTTTCGGATCCCATATAGGGATGGCCGGTTCGCTCACTGGGTGAGCGTGGTGCTGACAACACCAAGTCAAGGGTTGAGATCCCCTTACCGGTCATCTTTAAAAAAAAAAAAAGAAATGAAAT